ACACCACGAGGGCGCATCACCTCAGATTCCCAAGCTGCGTATGCACTGGCTATTTGTCTTGACCTCCTTGACCCAGCACAACGAGTACGAGCCGGAGATCGGCTTGTGGAACTCGTACGCAAGAACGAATTCAAAGTCGGCACAGGATTTGCCGCCACGCCATTTCTTTGTGAAGCCCTTGCATCTACTGGCCACATCCAAGTTGCGTATGCGATGCTGCTCGAGAAAGGCTGTCCATCTTGGCTATACCCAGTAACTATGGGTGCAACTACAGTCTGGGAGAGGTGGGACAGCATGTTGCCTGACGGTTCTATCAACCCGGGAGAAATGACCTCATTTAACCACTATGCCTTTGGCGCTATAGCCAAGTTCATGTATGAGAGAGTCGCCGGGCTTCAGAGGCTTGAGCCTGGATGGAGAAGAGTTCGTATTTCCCCAGCTATCGGCGCTACCTTTTCTCGAGCTGCTGCGTCGCATGTTTCCCCTCAAGGTACGATCTGTTTTGAGTGGAAAACGAGGGTCATTGATGGAGACACCGAGGAGTTTACTATCGAAACTACGGTTCCGCCAAACACTGTCGCTGAGATTATACTTCCTGGCTTGGAAAAAGAAGAGGTAAAGGAGGTTGGTTGTGGTGAGTGGACTTTTAGATCGCACTTTAAAAGAGATTATGAGTGGCCTGTTCCACCGCTACCACCAAAGTCATAAGGAAGTATCTCAAAAGTTATAGCTTGACTTGTCTATAGTACTTCAAAGGGTTGTATTAAGCGAGAGTCTGTGTCTATAAAGCTTAGCACACTCCCGCAGTTTTGGCGCCTGAAGTAGGTAGGTAGTTAGGGCCACTAATCAGATGGTGTCCGCAAGCCTCATAGGCCTCATGCTAGATGATGTTTTGGAAAGTTATGCAACGGCTTGTCAGAATCGTATTTGTCCGGAACCTGACCTTTTTAAGAGTTTCGCATCGCCTGGATTAGCTCGATGTTTTTGAACTGGCCCTGGAGCTCACGAATAGAGCTTTGTCAGCAAGCTTACTTAGCTGAACCACGATGTCTCTTTTAGCCTTAGTGCTGACAGACACTTACACATGATGACTGTTGATGACATTATGTCAAATTGCGAAGTTGAGTGTTTTCTGAATTTCAAGGGCCCATCTTCTGACAAGAAAACGGCGACACTATTGCAAATATATACACAGATGAAATTCACTGCCTAGGGAGAATGCTATCGTCAATTGAGTCGCTATATCCCAAGGCCTTCACTGGCCGCTTGCCACGAAATGACTTGGTTGTAAGGAAGGCCAGGGTTGCATGGTTCAAGGCAGCGGGTAGCAACTTTCTCTACCTGCAACTACTGTTCCTTGGACTCTTTTGCTATATACTGGGCTCCCTCTACCAGCAGTCGAACCATACGCATAATCTTCGAATCGTCTTTGTTGACTACGATGGGGGTGCAATCGGTCAGGCTGTGAGGGGTGCATACTCAGTTCTTCAAGGAAAAGACTATCCCTCCCTAATTGAAAAGCCAGCTTCCGACTTCCCCACCAAAAACGATCTCCTAGAAGCGGTTTGCAAGACAAGGTACTGGGGAGCTTTCTTTATCAACAAAGGATCTTCAGACCAGCTCCAACAGGCATTGGAAGGGGACGCCACAGCCCCGGGATATAACAACTCGGATGTAATGAGCTATGTATGGAACGAGGCTGTATATGCGCCCATTGTAGATGCCGCAATCTCGACAAATCTTCGTCTACTATCCGAAGTGGCCAGGGTGCAATACAGTATGGGGAACGGGACAGGCAACATTCAGTCTGTGTCCGGCAAGACCGCCCTGGGTGTCCTGGCCGAACCATGGAAGCTCCAATCAATAAACATTCAGCCCACTTCTCAAGGATCAAGAGCGATTTACAACACCGTGGTCATTATTTTGATCATGATTGAAGAATTTTGCTATCTTGGTACGATCAACGGCCTCTACGCGCAATTCAAACTCTATACCCGCGTCAAGGCGCACCGCATTATTGTGGTCCGGCTTATACTATCTCTCATTTACACGTTCATTGGGTCGCTTTGTGTTGTAGGTGCTATCTGGGCTTTCAAGGCGGGTTGGGATGTAAACGGCAATCAGTTTGCCTTGTCATGGGCTACCATATGGCTTTTTGCCCATGTCAACTTTCTGACGCTGGACGTTTTTACCATTTGGCTACCGCCTCCATTTATCCCCATGGCCCTCGTCTCATGGATCATATTGAACGTCACCTCCTTGTTACTGCCATTCGATCTGAACCCGGCATTCTACAAAGTTGGCTATGTTTTCCCGGCTCATGAGGTTTATCAGGTGCTTGCTCACATCTGGTCGAGGGGTTGCAATCCACAGCTTCGATACGCTTTGCCAATCTTGTTTGGGTGGGAGGTAGCCGCATTCTTATTGAGTGCTCTCGGAGTCTACCGCAGGAGCCACTTTGCTATGATTGGAGAAGAGCAACAGGACAAGGATTTTAAGGAAAGGATTGATGCCGCTGTGGCATTTGAGATGGCAAAGATAAGGCAAGCAGCAGACTTGCATGAAGAGGCCACCGAAGAAAAGACGTTATCGGCGCATGAGGGGATGCAATCTGACTTACATGGCTCCCAGCAGGCCGCCGAGCAGGATACCGTTCGAGAGGAGCTCGCTGAGGTTCTGGAGTCAGTTAAAACAAGACAGGAACGTGAAAAGGACATGGAAGGTCTCAGGAATGTTTGCAGCTTTGGACCAACATTCGAATTGCCGTTCAAATATAAGAATGGAAGTGAAGGAGCGAGATGGTAAGCCATTGAGCCCATTCTCAGAGACACAATATGGTGGCTCTGTTATACATATAGCAAAAGCGACCATTTAACGAGAGAAAATCTATAGACGCTAAGTAGATATTACTAATCAGAAAGGTAAAGCAAGCTGTGCAAGACATATCAAAGAAACTGACTAGCCAGTAGTATGTGTTATGGCTTACTTAGTATTAGAAAAGCTGGCAGGGGAGTCTTTCTAAAGATTTCTGAATATTCTATACACCCTGCCAAGCTATTTCATCTTCCCAAGGTCCTTTTTAGTCCTGAACGCTCTTAGAACCAAAAGCGCCGCTAAAGTTCTGGAACCGAACCCCGTCCATGTACGTCTTCGCCATATCATCCATCCACGGCTTTGTCTTATCCTTAAGAGAACAATCATGCTTGAGTGGACCACCGAACCCCACAGCGAGATGCCAGACAGGGGTTTCGAGCCCCGATACAAACCTTCTAAGTTCCATGACGCTGCGGATTGTTGATGACAGGTCGTTGGGCTTCAGGATCTCAAGTCCGGCTTCACGCATCTGCTTCATAAGTGATCCCAGAAGCATTGATGCACACTCCCGCTTGCAGTCATCGTTAGTGACCAAGAGTGACTCCTGAAGACCATAGAGATTATTTAGGACTTCATTAATGAGCTTCACACGCTGAGCTTCCACCTTTTCTACAATCTAGTTAGTAGCCTCACTATGCATAGACAACTTAAGAGAGAAACATACCAATGATAGTACTTGGCAATGGCAGGTCTGTGTATATAGGGATCTTCCTTTGCTGAAGCGTCGCAGCTACCATGCTATTAAACAGCTTTCCCTTCTGGAAAGCCCAAGCAATAAACATCCAGTTCATAGTCGCTTCATCTTCATATGGCGGCTTATCTTCCCCAAATGCCGTAATCCACCGCTCTGCAAAGACTTCCACAATCTCTTCGCACCGATAATAGTCGCACAGCATCGCAATCTCAACGAGAATATCAAGTTCGACCTCCTTTGGGAGACATCGATGATGCCCGTGGATAATATCCAGAAGAATTACCAGCGCTTCTGCATTCCATTCAAAAGCCTTAACCTCAAAGAGATTATCTTTGTTACGAATACCTTCGCTAAAAGGGCCATCGAGCATTGCTTTGAAGACAGGAGATGACAGTATGAGGTGTGCTGAGGAGACCCGGAAGCGGATTTCGGCAAAGCGATCATTCTCGTCAGAGGCTTTCAGCGCTTTCAGGTCATCAGTGTTGTGTACCGAAGAGGACCGATCGGAATACACGTCAAGAACAATTGGTTGATCTTCCGTGGGCTGGCCATCTTCAGTTTTGTTATTATCCAATTTTACAACTTCATCCTCGATTGCCGTCTCATTTGCCGTATCCTCGTTGTTGGCCTCTTTGGAGTCATTGCGCTTCCGAAAGTTGGGACGACGGAGGATCAGTTCGGTATCGCCTTTAGGCGAGAAGGTCAAAATGGAAGTTTTCATATTATAAGAGAGAGAGGAAATTGAAAAGAAACCTCTAAAGAGGGCGGCATAAGAGAGAAGTACTGAACCTCAGCTGTACACTCGAAAACCATTAAGCGCTTGTCACACGAAATCCTTGCCAGCTGAAATGCAGGAGCCGGCCGATCACTACGTCTCGGCGACACCACCAATTAAACCACGTCTTAAGCGCTGACCATTTTTTTCCAACCTTGCTAACCCCATCCTTGGCCTAGTTGAGCAATGATTCCTTAGCTTGCTTATTGAATACTGTCTGAATTGATTGAGTAGTGCGGGAGACAACAGGGCAAGCCAGACTTATCTATCGTGGTACTATAACACAAGATATCATTGGCCTGGCCAAAGTTCATTACATGGCTAATGCTATAGATTGCTGGCTTTCCTCCCTCGAAGCCACTAACTTACATCCCCAGTAATGTTAGCTACTATAGACCTCATTGCAGCTGTCGCATATGTCGGGCCTCCGTTACTGACCCGTGTCGTAAGTAGTCCAATCGATATTCAGCCAACTTTGCATCACCATCACCCTATTCGACGGGACAGTTCAAGTTAAATAAATAGTCAAGCACAGCGAACCTACCGTAGTGCTGAGTGCGCTATGGCATCCAGTCATTCCCTTGGATAAGTAGATGGTCGTGAAAATATAATTCAGATTACTATATGTTTATAGTGTTAGGCTGATGCTCAAGGCAATTACAGACCAAGAAGGCCATGAGTTAAAAGATTCTGCTTCTCTATTTCATCCTTCCGCTGCAGCAGCTCTGTGACGTCCCAATTGGTCCAAAGAAACCTGCCCTTCAGACAATCAGCCTCTTTCGAAGTAGCCAGCCAGACACAATACGACGCTGGGAGCCCTAAGAGTGTTAGCCCAAGAACTCGAAATCCGGGAATGATTAACTTACGAATGTTGTCCACTGTGGCAATATCACCAGACTTCTTCTGCATCTCTGTGGCAATGGCCCCGGGGTTGATGCTGAAAACGCGGAGATGAGGGTTTTCCAACTGGACAGATTCTATCACCTTCGCGAATGCGAGCTTTGATGAAGAATACGCAGAGTAACCCGGGATGGGGGGTAAATGCCCTGCTCCAGATCCGACATTGATAATCGTGTCATCGGGCTTGCTTTGCTTCAGGAACTGCTGGGTTACAACTAGGCCTCCTTTGACATTGATCTCAAACGTCTTCCAGTAGTCATCGAGATCAGAGTCCAACAGCGAGCGATGGGCATCTAGATATCCTGCGTTCTGGATGAGGATATCGATGTGGCCGAATGCTGCAATAGCCTGCTGAAAGGCAGATGCAACAGCTGCTCTATCAGTGATATCGGCTTCGGCATGATGAACTGGTACTGGAGTGCCCGTAGAGACACTTTTAATCTCTTCTACAGCACTGAGTAACTCTGTACCAGTCCTTCCAATGATAAATATGCCCTTAGCTCCAGCGACGGCGAAGGACCTTGCGATTTCACGACCAATTCCTCGACCGCCGCCTGTAACAAAGACGACTTTTCCCTCACAGGATAGTTCGGGGTCTGTTTCAGAGATTGCGTCGTAGGTGTCATGGTGATATGTTGGAACAAATTCTAGCCTGAAAGTAGCCATGGCTATAATGATATTGAATGTTGGAGATGTATCTTGTGTGTTTTTCGAGATGAGATGTAGAAATTCGTGACAGGAGATCGGCAACGGAAGCAGCAGTTCATATTTATACTTAGAGAGCAATATTTTTGAACCAACTAGGTCCATTAATTGGAAATTACTGATTTCTAACATAATTGCCAGCAGAAACATGAGAGTGCTTACCTTATGCCTCTGCGGAGCTTACTTCCGTCATTTTTACTTCCGCCTCACAAGATCAAGATCAATTATTTAATTGGCGGGTGGGAATGGAAGTGGAGCCTGCAGTGTACCCACAGATAAACCAGTGGAAGCCAAAAATAAGCGAGACCAATTAGAGAGTCCTAAAGTGCGGAAGTAGAGATCCCCACACAACAACTTCCCCTCATCATTGTAAGCAGTGAGTTCAATTAGAAGACAGCGACTTCTTCTGATTTCCATGCCACCTCCTTATCGCCAAGCATGCGCTGCATGCATCAAGTCCAAAAGACGATGTGACATGGCAGTTCCCAAATGTTACCGTTGTCGTGTCCGATCACTTGAATGCCTTTATCCACGTCCCTCGACACGACGAACCTTGGCGCGAAGTTCAAAAGCTCTTCCTCAAGAAATCGCAGGAGCCGCAGTGGACGAATCTCAAACAGAGTCACAAAGTGCGAGTATTGCATCTGATGTAACTTTCGATGCTGATAACCTCGCCTTGCCGCCTTTCCCAGACTACGACTTGGATTGGCAGGAAGCAATGACAAATCTCAATGACTTCTTGGTGCCTGACTTATTGAATCCGCACGACACGGCTGAGAAGAGTGTTTTGGCAGGCGAAAAGTACCAACGTCGTATTGTATACACCATTGAGCGGTTCAAGTCATACCCCAAGCAGTTGGTTCTTCACGGTCAGGTGCCTTTCATTCATAGAAGAGTTGTCGAAAAATATCTCTCCCCGCCAATTACAAGAATATTTGCCATTTGTGCGCTTTATGAGAGAAAGTGTGAGACGAATCAGCAGCTGATTTACAGTACTATTCAGCAATATGCTGATGAGTTGATTGACCTTACACAACTGGCCGACTCTGACGTCGATTTATTATCTTCGGTTCAGGCATTTATTCTACTACAGATAATTCGCTTACTGGATGGAGACATTCGGCAAAGAGCAAATGCTGAGAATGTGGAGACCTTCTTTGTCAGCAGCATTCGGCGCCTACAACAGCGTATGAAAAGTGTTGAAGACTCGGCACAAATTATGAGCAGTCAATTGATGACGCCAGGTTCTGATGCTTGGGAAGGCTGGTGTCTCGCTGAGAGCCTGAGACGCACTGTTATAATAGGATACAGCCTGCATGGGTTGTATTCATTCCTGAGGAACGGCTGGGACGATGCTCACCATGAATTTCCGGTGCTATCGTTTTTTGGTCAAAAGGCTCTTTGGTCCGCCACTTCGAGGTTTGAGTGGGAATCTGCTGTTGCTAAATGTCAATCATTGCCTATACGCTTCGCTCATTGGGAAACGGATATGGCCATGGCGAAACCAGAAGAAATGGACGAACTTGGGGTTATTATGATGGCGCTTACCACTGGAATAGACGATTGTTGTCGTTGGGTTGGGGACAGGCTACTTGACAAATTTGGTCTCAAGCCTTAAACCTTTATCTTCGGTAATCCAAAGAGAAGTTTTAACCTTATTGCGGTTTGATCAGCCTCAGGTCTTATGTTTTTGACAATTCACTCAAAGCTCGGAAGAATCTCGGCATCGTTTACTAGGTGACTGAGCAACCGGAGCCAATGTTGGGCTCTTTCAAATCTAACATAAGTGAAGTTCCTCATAATCCAATTTACTAGAGAGCCCCTAATTCATGGCATATTGATCCTTGGCTTAATGTTTACTTCAAGGAAGCAAAACTTACCCTATAAGAACCGCATAGATTATTAGTGGGGTTGCTATTTATAGCGCTTCTCATACCAGAAATTTAACCAATTACATCACCGACCATCACAATTCGCGTAGGAGCCATCGGACTAACTATTAACCGAATGGCCGGTCCCCTTTTCCAAGCAGCATCATTTAACATCAGCATCTATCCAACAATGCATCATCAATATTGGACCAGCCATGCTATCCGCGATAGCTCAAATATTTCGCATAAGTTGGGTGTCACTCTTTGGCCTCTTTGGTAGTTTTTTGGAATCGACTCCTGTAGCTTCCATATTTCTCGACTACTCAAATATTAGCAAACCAAAATCAAAACAACGATACCAAGAATGAGATCCACACCCCAGAACTGACTAAATCGGATACGGACACGAGCGCCCCCAATCTAAGCAACCAATGTGAGGGGTTCTTAGGAGTTGCTATTATAATTAAAGTACTTCTTTAATTTAAAGCGCAAGCCCTGATAATCAGATAACCTTATTTACTAATATTCTCTTTGTGATCATGGTCAAGCTTGTCAGATTTAACAACCTCGTCTCCAAATGCCCCAGCAATCTCTTCCAGGGTCAATTGATTTGTTTCAGGTAGCCAAACCCAGTATACAACAGCGGCAGCCAGGTTAAGAGCGATGAAGACAAAGTAGAACTTCCAAGCAATAGCCTCAAATGCGTATGGGGTGATCTGGGAAAGCCAAATATTTGTCACAGACATGGAAAAGACAGCGAAGGCATTGCCATTCCCGCGGAGATGCTGTGGGAAGATCTCAGCGACAACGACCCACACGGTGCTGTTGAAGAAGATCGCATAGCAGGCCGAGTAGAGGAAAATGAACGCGACACCAGCTGCGGCTCCAGCGAGATGGCTACCATCGCCGTAGAATCGGGACATGATGGTGAGGAGAACCAGGAAAGTTGTTAGAACAAGAGAACCAAGCCCTAAGTTCCACGAAGTTAGATTTCCTGAGTGCAGAAAGTGGAGAGACCTTAATTAAGGAGCGCTTACACATTGTTCGCTTACGTGGCCACTTGTCAGATACAAACGCCATGTTAATGACCTGACCGATGACTCCCATTAAGCCATAACAGCCGCTTATAAGGAGAACCGTTCTTCCTTCGAATCCAAGGCCAGCATAGAACAGAGATTGGTAGTTTTGAATCACGCCTCCTATATATATAATGAGACTGATAATCCCGTTGACACAAGCAGGGTCTCAACATACCACCAGAGAGTTTAGTCATGTTGAGGATGAAACAGGCAAGCAAGAGTCGCTTGGCGTAGCGGAGAGTGAAGAGTTCAACCCAGCTTGCACTTGTCCGTTGGGCTTGTTCCAGCGCAAGCTGCTCTCCGATCTCCAACATTTCACGTTGAATGAACTCCTGTCCTTTCTTGGCGTGGAGCATCGTAATGACTCTTTGTGCATCTTCGTGGCGCTCCTTTGCAATAACTTCGGAGTTAGTTAGTAATGAGGCCATGCGTCTGGTAGGTTGATTATCTGAACACTTACGCCACCGAGGGGAGTCGGGAAGAAAGACAGTAAGAACAAGGAGGAGAGCAGCCGGAGGAATCTGCATAGCTAGAGGGACTCTCCACTGCACATCGCCCTTAGCATACGAGCCAGCATAGCCGATCCAGTTCGCAACGAGATAGCCGATGCCAGTGAGCAGACCTTTGAGTGCCACCAAGTAAGCTCGGTTCTCCGGGGGCGCGAGCTCGGCAATATAAACGGGTACAATGGTCAGTAAGAATCCAGTGGCAAGCCCGGCAATAATACGACCCGCAATCATCATTCCAACATTAACTGAAGCAGTTTGGATCGCAGTGCCGATAATGGCACAAAGAGTGGCAATCATAACAAGAATCTTGCGACCCCATCTGTCCATCATGGCACCAGAAGTCAGAGAGCCGATGCAGTTGCCGGCATAATAAGTTGAGACGATGGCACCAGTAAGTTGGGGCCTGGCATCGAGAGAGCCGTACATGTATGTTTTGAAAGAGTCATGGGCGATGGTTGTCGCGACGATGCCTGTGTCAACACCATAGACAAGCCTAAATAGTGGAACGTGAGACATTAGCCGGCTGAACCTAGAGCAAGGACTGGTGGGATGGTCAAACGTACCCGCCGATCGCAATAACCAGGGAAGAGTATGTCGTAATGTCCATGCCTAACATCTTGACCTTTCAATAATGTCGATTGTTGCTTAAGGGGGCGAATGGTATTCCTTGTCAAGTTGTTCTGTCTGTTGACGCCGACGGGTTTAAGCACCAGGAGCCTGGATATTTGTGGAACATGGGGTTGCTGATCCGGGGAAGAACGATGTCTTTTATGCCTACCGTATCCTTAGACTGTGGGGAAGTTAGATCAAGTCTTTTGTCCTGTATGACCCCGGATTTAGGGCGGGGTCGGATGTACATGCAGCGATGTCGCTTAGAAAGCTACGAGGTTGGCGTGGTGTAGAAGGCTGCATCTGTGAGTCGGCGGAACATAGCCGAAACGTCGGAGGAACATCACCGCGATGCTTGGGCCCCGAGAGAAACTGTCTATCATTACATTTCAGCAAACAAAATACAGGAGAGGTTCATATGCTGTATAATATCACAAAGCGGTCTTCGCGGCATAGGTTTGGGTGACTTGGCAAGTTGAGTTTGGCACAAAACCTCGATACATAGACAAAGGGCTAAGACAGACCAACAAAACCAAACTTTAACTACAAAATGAACAAATAATTAAAAAAAGAGAAGCTATCTTAAGCTTTTACCTGTTTCCTCCATATAGCCAAAACATCCTTACACAAAGCAAGTAAAGGAGTATTTAAAGACATGACCTTTAAAACAGACACCTCTACACCAACTTGCTGCATAAACCATTCTCTGACCCTGACAGCCACAAGTGAATCAATACCAATACTAGCAACAGGGACATTGGTGTCAAGCTCCTCTGGCTTCATATGCAACATTCCACACAATGCCGATGTAAAGCCACCAAGGAGGAGGTCGAGGCAAGCATCTGGATCAGCAACAGATGAAGCAAGCTGGATTTTGAGAGATGCACTGCTGCCTTCTTTGGCAGTTTCATCATTGCTGTCGTCCTCGGACTGGAGGTAATGCCATAATCGCGGTTGTTCTCGCCATGTGTAGGTCCGGATATCACCACGAATACCTGTAATGAGATCATGTCGGTCGCCCGCAATAACCTCAGCCAACATATCGTGTAGATCGGTCTCACTGACAGGAGACATAAGCCAATACAATGAGTCTTCAAGCATCTTGCGCTTCTCATGTCGCTGAACATAGCCCAGTCCACTGACACCTCCGATGTGGACAACACAGCCGGGGTAACCACGTTGTCGCATGTTGCTAGCTGTGCCTTGCATAAACCAATTCGATGAGCCATATGCAGTCTGGCCCCCGTTTCCAGCAACCGCAACTGCAGAAGAGAAGAAGACAACGAAGTCTAGCTGCTCTGGTGCGACTTCTCTGTCGAGGAGCGCAACAAGGTTCTGCGTTCCTCTGACCTTGGGGCCCATGACAGCTGAAAAGTCTGACCATGGCTGGTCTGCAAATAGTTGATCTCGCATAAGCATCGCGCCGTTCATTATACCGCCAACAGGGGGCATCGATGTATGAATCTCGGCCCACGCAGCTGATAGTGAGCCCTCGTCGCAGATATCAATAGCCATGAAGCGTAAAGTAGCACCATGAGTTGCGGCAACATGATCCACCACCGGTTGAAGAACAACAGGGTTTCGAGATGCCAGCACAACATGGCGAGCTCCGCTATCAAACATCCACAATGCAATTGATATACCGAAATCACCGGCGAGGCCAAGCAGAAGATATGTCTTCTTACTGGAGAAAATACCATCGTGATCTGGCGGAAGGAGCTTGGCCGTGATGGTTGTTGTTGTCGTTCTGTCGAGGACGCTTGTTGGCAAAATGGATGATGGGGACTTCTTGGAGATATGTTCAACGGGGATAACGGCTCCTTCTGCTAAATTCTCAGAAACAAGAGTGCCACTGCTGAGATGCCACTTCACAAGGTCAACGAACATGGGCTTGCTGAGCCCGTTGAAGACGACACCATCGAAACTATTCAATGATAGAACTGGCAGCTCAATGCGGATACTGGGCCAGATGCTGCGAACCAAGCCGACCAAGTTGTGATCCTGCTGCGAATCTTCCAAGCAAACGAATGCCGCAATGTCTTTCGGCTTTACCAGAACAAGGTCACGCTCGGTAGCGAAAGGATGGAGGAAGTTGGTGTTCCCCGTGACTATCTCACGATCAGATGTTGTGTTGAACAACTGGATATCATCACGTCGTGAGGCCGCAAGATCCAGTCCTTTTTGCAGCCACGAAGGTGCGCCATGAATCCAAACATGACCCGAAAGGCTACGAAGAGTAGCCTCGGCAATTGCCGATGTTATCAGGAATTGAAGCTGATGAGGGTACCCGATACCTCCATTGCCATTCTCGTACTGCCAAAGAATCTCAAGCGAGTCCTCGTCTGAGAGGGTGAGTGATGATTCGCCTGCAACATTCCTGGAGATACAGAGCTGCCTTATATTCTCTTCACCTTGGAAACGGAAGCCGTGCACAGAAGATGCTAGCACCTCCAGATCACTGGCTGGAGTATGTCCATACGGCCGCTCAATCGCAAGTATCCCACGCTCATCGAGCGCTGCGAAAGGATTCGTCGCAGAAGTTTCCACGTACACGTCTTTGTATCTCGTATCAGCGAGCTCGTTGAGGCCGTCAACTGGCCAGATTCTCGGGATGTAAATGGCGTTGCCTCTCAACATCAACTCCGGCTCAAGTGTAAAGAGTATGTCCTGGTCATCTGAGCTACTGCTGGAAAGATTGAGTAATAGCTTGCAAATGACGTCAGGATCTACAGTCTGTGACTCCTGCTCAATGTCCAAGATTTGAAGCTTCATAGTAGACCGCTCTAGGCGTGCAGATCGTCCCCATCCAAGCACCATAGTATTCGCAGGCTTAGCTCCACCTCTGGCACCCTCTGTAATCCAGAGGAGGACGCTCGCTTGGCGCATTATCTCTTGCAGACCCTTGAAGCGTAGCTCGCTCATCTCTTGGAAGACTGGAGTATCGAGATCACAGAGATTCAGAATAATGGCCTCTGGGGCAACGTTGATATTTTCAAGGCCCGAGACCTTCCGCACTGTAGCAAATGAGGCAAGCCTGTCTTCTAGCTGAGAAGCGAGGTTTTCAACAATCGTGCTAGGTGATGGATCTAGAACCAGCAAGATTTCTGCATCAATCTTCTGCGTCACAGTAATTGGATCACGCACAGCAAGAACAACATCGTCAACAGCTTGCGAGAGCATAACACTGCAAAAATGCTGCGTGTAGGTGACATCAACGCCCGAGAATCCGTTCACTTTCAGCAACGCATCGCAGTCGGAGACCGTGATTATCTGTGGCCGTGAATCGTCCTTCTCCAGCCAAGTTCTTGGGAGCAGGGACTGAACGAAGCGAACAGGAAGATAGTCGTTGGTCAGAGCTACAAGGAGAAGGAATCCACCCGGGCGGAGCAGCTTTCTCGCATTGATCACCGTTTCTTGGCTGACTTTGGTAGAGTATGAAGTTGTGGCGATGACCAAATCGTATGATGCTTCGACAAACCCTTGCTGAACTGGGTCCTTGTCGATGTCAAGAAGCTTGAAGATGAGCTTCGAGTCATCATCAGAAGGCTCAACAGTATTGGTAACTGTGTAAGATGTGTAACGGCGCTTGCCTGCAGCATTGATCAACGCGTCTCGTAAGCCTGAGCCGAACCCAGCACCAACTTCGATCATCTTCATAGCTGGGTAACGATGGCATATTTGTGAAACAAGGGCAGCTGCATCAGCAGTGGTTTCTCGGAAGCCAAAGCTGTCGGCGTAAAACCTTTGAAGCGCGTTTTCTTGCTCAGCTACTTTGACACCTGCAGTGAGACCACGGGTGATGGATGTCAGATTACGTCCAAGACGCTCCAAGAGAACGACGTCGGCTGAGTTTGCGAGCTTGAGTCTCTCAACCTCTTGGTTCAACTCTGCTTCGCTATCATCAAGCCACTCCTTGTTGGCCTCGTGCTCTCCAGCTCTCACGCTGGGAATAAGAACCTTCTGTACCCATGTCAAAAAGTTTTTGCGGGCTTTTCCCATGAGCATGATCTCAAACGGCTTAAGCTCTTTGAGAACCTTCTGACAGTAGAATAGAACCAGACGCATGGCCAAATTGCTAATTTGAGCCCTATTGTTTGAGATGATCGACTTCCGATCAGGTTCAATGCCACACAAAGCGTCGCGTTCCCAGATATCTTGATGGTAGGTTTCTCGGCTTGATCTGAGTGAGCCGGGCAGATTCAATAAGTGCACTCCGCGGATCTGAACATGTGTCTTGTTATTCTCGGGATTGAAGACATTGATATCACCGCTGATACGGCTGGCATCGCCATGGGTGACAAAGGAGTCTGCCAGCAGTTCTGTAGGGCCATCGCCATCTACAGCGGGAACGGCCACCATGCTAATCCGAATGCTGTCAATACGACTTGGAAGGTAAGCTGACCGTTGCCGTCTGTCTCCTGGGCACGAGTAACCAGCCAATAGCCCATGGATACCCGTATCCAAGGCCGCGGGGTTGACATCGGAACGGGTCAATGAGTTCGCTTCATGCCATCCAGCAGGCATACTGACAACAGCGTGGTGCAAACGGCGAAGCATTTTAGGTGTCTGGAAATGCTCCTTATAACCATGGCCCAAGACAGCCAGAGTGTCATAGAGCTCTTCGACGTCAAGTGGAATCAAGGGCAGAATTGGCTCCGATCTGGCAGGAAGTATATCATCTCTGGGAGCACCAAGCTCAATACGCAAGAATCCTTCAACGTGAGACTCAGCTTGAGCTGGCATATCTCCAAGATTCTGGCCATGTTCGAAATCAACCGGGTTGCTGTAACAAGACCAGCTTGCCGTGATCACACCGTCCAATTGGCTTGTAATGCGTACCGCAAAGAGGATCTCAGTTCCGGGAGAGTCAGCTTTGAGGCTCAGAGCACGAAAGACATCGATGTCGTGTAGCTCGACAAGTCGAATTTCCTGCGCTGGGGAGACAAGTCTAATGGCTGCCTCATAGGCCATTGTGACATAACACGTTGCCGGAAACAGGTATTCTCCTTGAATAGTGTGTCCAAATAGCCAGGGAATCTCTTCAAGACGAAGGACTTGTTTCCAGTGAACCTCACGCTGCTTCCCGCTACCAAAGGTAGAGGCAGAGCCTAGGAGCTGATGGCGCTTCTGGTTCTGTGTACGTACAATCGCGGAGTGACGAGATTCTTTCCAGTATACACTATCATGGTCGAATGGATAAGATGGTAGGTCTTTGAGAAGACCTAGCCTGTTGTTCTTCCCACCAGGCGCAAAGGCTCGCTCAATGCCGTCGAAGCTGACAATAGACCGTCCACTTTGGAGTGGAAATGTTTTCCATAGTAGTCCCAAAGCATCAAAGAAAGACTCCACGTCATGCTGACCGCGCTTAAGCACACCCGAGTATGGCAGGCCAATACCCGTCATGTTATTGATGGTCTCAGTAGCAGGGCCTTTTAGAGCAGGGTGAGGTCCAACCTCGAGCGCAAAGTCAAACACATGACTTTCGTTGACAGCTCGCTGGACAGCTTGACTAAAAAGAACTGTGTTGGTCATGTTGTCAACCCAGTATTGGCCCTTCAGTGACTCAGCGTCCTTTCCACTAAACGAGCGACTGCGTCCATTGGATCCCCACACGCTCGAATACCAGACAACATTGGTTCCGGGCTTTGTGTTAATCTTGATGCTACACTTTTGAAGCGAGTCGAGATATGGCTGGGCGACTGGCTGCATGTGATGCGAGTGATAGGCGGTATCGACCTGTAAAACCCTCGCAAATGTGCCAGCAGCGTCGAGCTTCTCTTTGGCAGAGTCAATAGCTGAAGCGTCACCCGCAAGAGTGCAACTGCGAGCCGAGTTACTGGCAGCAATCTTTATCGTTCCTCTCGACTCCGCGCAGAAGCCAGCAGCTTGATCAATCGACATGCCAACGGCCATCATCTTGCCGCTACATCCATCAGGTCCTTGTGCTTTCTTCGAGTGGAGTCCGCGGAAGTACGCAATGCGAATAGCGTCGTGCGCATTGAGGTAGCCAGCCGTATACGCAGCAGCAATTTCACCGGATGAATGGCCAACAACGCCCGAGAACTGTACCCCAGCCGCAGACAGCATGTCGACAAGGGCCACTTGCACAGCTGTACATATCGGCTGTGATACAGCTGCTTCACCTATGTGTGACGTCGCAGGAGGAGCACGGAGTTCTTCAATGAGAGACCACGATGGACGTCCGTCTTTGACAGACAGTTCGTCAAGACTGTCCTGCATACGCGAGAAAGCGCTGCGGAAAACAATTGACGATTCATAAAGTTTTGCACCCATGGTAGCCCACTGAGCACCTTGACCTGTGAAGACACCAAGGATGCGTGGGGGCATATTCTCCGGGATGCTGGCGGTGCGAGAGGTCTTGTTTAGAACAGCTGTCTTGAGCTTTTCGGTAAGCTGCTGTACACTTGTCGCGGAGAAGGCTGCGCGGAAGCTGAAGTTGGCACGTTGGAAGAGGGTGTATGACAGACGCCGCAGGTCCGTCTCAGGGTTGCTTTCTAAGTAATGACAGAGTTGCGACGCCCTCGAAGCCAAGGACTGCGCTGAGTTTGCAGATAGCACAAATAGGCCACCTACACTCTTCGAATGACTGTCTGACTCGTGCCCTTTGCTGTTCCAGGCCTCGAGGATAGCGTGCGCATTTGTTCCTCCAAAACCGAAGCTGTTTACACTAGCACGGCGAGTCCAACTGTTGGGTAGAGCTGGCCATGGCTGCGTTTCAGTCGGGACTTGCAGATTTGTATAGAACGGCTCGATCTTGGGGTTGAGGGTCTTGAAGTGTAAATTTGCGGGGATTAGGCCATGTTGAAGAGCCTGGGATGTCTTCAAGACACCAGCGAGGCCTGCACTACCCTCGAGATGTCCTATCAGGGTCTTCACAGAGCCAACTGTGAGTTTGCGGTCGTAAATTGAACCTTTGGGAAAGAAGACTGTCGAGATTGCTTCAGCCTCCCTTGCTGTTGGTAGAAAAGACAAGTCAGCATTCATAAATGTGAGCTTGGGACGAAATGTGGACTTACGGTCGCCGGCCTGTGTTCCAGTCCCATGGGCTTCAAAATACTGTGGTCGATCGCACTCGAGTCTCAAATCAAGACCTGCCTTGGCATAAGTGGACCTGATGAGTTCTGCTTGCGCCGTTGGGCTAGGCATAGTTATACCTATGTGACCATCGTTAGTATGTCTAGATCACACGATAGCATTGCGTACCCGGAGTTTGGCCGTCTTGGTTGACGCCTGTCTCTCGAATGATGCATTCGATGTGATCGCCATCAGAAATGGCCTGGCTGAGAGTCTTGAGAATGACAGCTGAAGTTCCTTCTCCACGGGTGTAGCCGTCGGCGTCCTTATCCCACATATAGGAGCGTCCGTTGGGAGATAGCATGTTGAGCTACATCGGGCGTTAGTACGGTCTTTGGTACTTCGTCATTTATAAAATAGAAGAGGTCTACTAACACTTGACTCAGACACAAACAGATCTGGCACCAAGATCAGGTTCGATCCCGCTGCAACAGCCATCTTGGCTTCGCCACTTCTCAGAGTCTGCACGGCGTAGTGTAACGCCACCAAACTCGAAGAACATGCTGTATCAATACCCACAGACGGTCCTTTCCAGTCGTAGAAGTAAGATAGACGATTGGCCAAGATAGACATGGCAACACCGGTAGCATGATACTGTGGTAGGCTGTCAAGGCCTCGGGCGGAAATGAGCTGATAGTCGAGGAACATCACACCGACAAAGACAGCGGTATTGGATCCGCGCAGCTGTTGCATTGAGTAGCCAGCAGACTCGATGCCCTCATAGACTGTTTCGAGCAGCATGCGCTGCTGCGGATCCATGGATTGAGCTTCTTTTGGGCTGATGCCAAAGAAGTCTCTGTCAAAGGCTCTTGGGTCTTGGTCCAAAAGGTATGCATGTCGAACATTAGAGCTCTGCGTTTGTTAGAATTCGTACAGAGTGACTATGCTGGAGTACGTGCGCCATGATTCTGACTATCAGGATGATAGAAACCGGTTGTGTTGAACCGAGTGGAAGGAATCTCAGAGACAACATCTCTGGGGTTCTTGAGGAGGTCCCAAAGCTTTGATGGGGAGGTTGCATCGCCTGGGAAGCGACAGCTGCTACCCACAATAGCAATTGGCTCGTTGGTGTATTTTGGTTCATGAGTTATGCTACCCATCTTGAAGCACAAATGTTTCAGTGAATAGTAAAAGTTGTATATAATTGTCAGTTAGGTCTTAAAGGAGTGATCTCTAATGCATCCAATATTTAGCATCTGGGGTTCCACCACATCTTTACCATTCTTCAACAACTACCATCCCTCTTGAACACCGGAAGATCTAGATACGAGCCTTTACTCAACCACCGGCCCGAAAGACCGACTGCGATGGTGCGAGTGGCTGCTTACTCCGACAGTCACGGTCGGAACACGGAGTTTGCTGCGCCTCATCTGTCCTCCGGTTCACGGATTCCGGTACGACTAATATCTTACAGGCGTAATTCTCCCGGAATTATGATAATATGGTCTGACAGATAAGCTAAACGAAGCCAGAGATGATGGGAGTCTTATCTATCGATTGAGATTGTTCCCCAAATTTAATATCTGTGAATCCAAGTTGACTCAACTGCCGCTGCACCAATCCACACTTTACCATTCAATAGCGTCCAAATTCTTCTCGTCATCGTTCAGTATGTCATCCCCAGCAACAATGAAGGCTATGGTTAGCAACGCATCAGGAGGCTACTGCCTCAACAGCGCCATGCCGCAGCCAAGTCCAATGCCAGGCATGATGCTAGTTCGCGTTGAGGCCGTTGCCCTCAATCCTTATGATACCAAGGTTATCGAATACGGTATCATCACTCCTGAACCCTATGTTGGAGGCTGCGACTTCGCTGGCGTTGTAGTCGCTGCTGGCCCTGGAGTCACACGATTCCAACCAGGTGATCCGGTGCTCAGTATGCATACGCGCGGCGGTTTTGCCGAGTACGCATTGGCTTTTGAGGATATGAGTTGCCATATTCCAAAAGGAATGTCATACAATGAGGCCTGTTCTCTTGGTCTGGGTATTGGAATCTCAGGCCTGGCTTTGTTTCAGCAACCTGGACTCAATCTGCCTTTACAACATGGGCAAGATCTGAGCGACATGACCGGAAATGGCCGAAGCAATGGATACACGAACGGTCACACAAATGGCCATACAAATGGCCATAGCAAAGGCGAAGAGGAACAAAAGGATCCCGTCATAGTCCTCGTGGCTGGAGGCGCCTCAGCCTCGGGTACAATGGCCACGCAGCTTCTCAAATTGTAAGACAACCGTCAATACCTGAGTTCTTGCCAATGCAAAAGACACCATGCTTACAAATACTCTATTCAGGGCCGGATATAACCCTATTGTAACATGCTCACCAGCCAACAACTCCCTCTGCGAGTCGTTTGGAGCCTCAGCCTGCTTTGACTATAACTCTACAACGTGCGGGGCCGATATTCGTCTCCATACAGACAACTCGCTCGCATACGTTGTTGACTGTGTCACTAATGTCGCTACCATGACTATGTGCTATGAAGCAATCGGCACTCAAGGTGGCACCTACATTGCGCTAGATGCCACAGCCAACACAGTCAAGTACACGCGACGTGATGTCCGTGCCGACTGGGTCATGGCCAACACCCTCCTCGGTGAGCCCTGCAAGCTCGATGGTGTTTATGGACGGTCTAGCGCCCCTGAACATCGAGAGTTTGCCAGTCACTTCTTTAGACTAGCGGAGCGATGGCTGGCTGAGGGCAAGATTCGTAATCATCCTTTGGAAATTCGTACTGGAGGCTTGGAAAGTGTTGATGCTGGACTACAGGATCTACGAGACGGTGTTATCAGGGGTAAGAAGCTTGTTGTTCCCTTACATGTTGGGGCTTAAAGAGTTGTGGCGAACGAAATGGCCTTAATTTCACCTCCTTAGATAGATGTTATTGCTTAAGTTTGTGCAGAATTATTATTATATTTCTGTAACCTACTAAAGAAATACTAAACTTCTATATTATATATAAATTTACCTCAAGAATTTATGCTTCAAGTCTAGCTTTAAAAACTTAACTATTAATTTATTTATTTAAATTTAAATGATTATCTATAAGCTACAGAGGTTTTATATAATATAATAGAATGAATAGCACTAACATACTCTTATCTCTTACTACTAGGTTCTGTCTGCTGGAATAAGCTCTCAGCCACAAGTCCGAACTGCAAATAACACATCTAAATTAAGGGAGAAGTAATCTTCTCATGCCCTAAACTAAATCTGATAATAGACTCAATCTTAAACATCTCAGTCCATTGAGCTTTGCCGAGGGCCGGAATCTCGGTGTCACAGGCCGCAATTGTCGGACTTCCTATGTTTTCTCCGTCTGATTAGATTCGGAACCCGATGTCCTGCATGTGTAGCCACTCTCTGCTGATTTAAGCTCTCAGCCATAAGCCCCAACTGCACCGTGTGTAGCCACATCAGACATTTCCGACCGTGCCGACCGGGATACTCTTTTCCGTGCTGACTGATTCCGCTTCCGTCTTACGTGACTCAAAGGGAGACGGAAGCCTATCGTGGTGCGAAATGCGCCATAGAATAGATCACAGAGAAATAGGATTATTATTGTTGTTATTAAGGAGTTGCGAAAAGATAAAATATAGGGCTGTTTTCAAACAACAGCGCAGTATATACAAGCTCACAGTCGCATTCATACTCATTACAGTCATAAGTCAACAACATGTCCCGCCTTGACGTCACCTTTAAAACACTCGATGGCCTCACCCTGAGTGGCTGGCTATACCCAGCCGCCCAATATGGACCAGGCATTATTGTTTCTCCAGGAGTAGGTAGCACGGTTCGCAGAAAAACATTGTTTGCTAAGCTCTTATATAGTTTAACATGCCTAGAGAGGCCTTTGTGCCTGATATCGCGCAGTGGTATCAGAATCATGGCATCACGGCACTCATTTTCGATACAAGGACTTATGGCCTAAGTGATGGCCAACCGAGACAAGAGGTAACTGAACCTCGAATCGCCATTGAACTTCAACGTAGTACCTAACCGCTTATATCCAGACTAGCGCTCGTAAACGAGTTGAGGATTTTCATGATGCCGTCACGTTCCTTTCCAAGCACGAACTGGTTGACCCCGAGAAGATTGCCCTCTGGGGCCTCTGTTTTGATGGAAACATGTGTCTTGCTGCTACAGCGCTTGAGTCAGTATTGCCAAGATAATCTATACATTGACCAGTGCTGATAAAGACCCCAGTCCGCGTGTACATGCTGTCGTTGCTGTTGCACCTGTCATTGACCTCCATGGGTTCCCCGAGCGACGAAGAGCTATTCTCGAGCTGGCCATGCAGGATCGCGAAGCTCAAATGGCTGGTGAAGGTACTTTTCTCCTCCCCATGTCGTAGCACATCTAAGTCCAATTTCTAGAGCCAATCTATCTGCCCTACGTCAACGAAGATGGCACTGTTCCCCTAGGCCCCTCAATGGGCTCAGACTTTTGGCCCATGATGACACGCTTGAAGATCCCTGTAGAGAACCGCGTCACAGTGCAGACATTCTACAGTGCTTTCTCGTGGGACATCATGACGCTCATTCCCTATGTCAGCCCCACGCCTGCAATGATGGTGACACCCGAGAATGATATTGAATGCCCTGCTGCGGAGCAGATTGCCGCGTTCGAGAAGATGGGTGAGCCAAAGACCTTTCATTTGCTTCCCGGTAAGGGCCATTTGGACTGGGCTTTTGGCGATGTCGACTCTGTTATGGAGAAGCAGTTGGAATTCTTGAAGGGGGCCTTGAACTTTTAGACCCGTGCCATTCTTGGTCTGTCTTGTTAGATGCTCATACAGTTAATAAGATATTCTATATACGCTCGGAGCTCAGAATAATCACATAGCTATATTTGATATCAATTATTACATACAAAGTTAGCTAAAATGATTATGAATCCTGTAACCGCAACCTACTTTACTCATCATTAAATTCTGAAATCTTCTTCGCTACCTTTTCTCTGGAGCATATTATTTCTACTCATAGTCTACATTTTAACTCGTCTCATATTAAGAAAACCCAATCTAATCCTGAAACTCAAATTTCCTCAAGCGTATCCATCTGCCCCTGGAGCTGAGAAATGATTTGTCGCAGTCTATGATGCTGTTCTGATAGCCCTGTAATTGATCCTTGTGCGAAACCAGAAATGCTTGCTCTATCGGATCCAAGTTCGTCTCCATTCTTCTCTGTACGTGTCAGATCCATGACACCTTGATACTCATTGGTGCTCGGCATTGTTTGTATGCCCGCGAAGAGACATCTGTCCAGCCGGTTGATTAGATGTACCAACAATTGAAGAACCATTGTAAACTGCGCTGAAGAAGGAGCTGGGTCCCCCATCAGCGAGCTACTATGATTGGTTTCAAAAGCAGTCTTTTCCCTCGATTTTTCATCAATACAATGTTCTATGGATTTGCAAATTGCCTTGAAAAGACCCAGAAGATGCTGCTGACAGGCAAGGATTGTTAGGGCCAGCCCTCCAACACCACAGCATGATACAGCCTCTGATGAATTCTCGTCCGTCTCCCTGGAAATAATTATGGATATGGTGTTGATGATACGTACTAGGCTTCTTGTGCCATCGAAAGCTTGGTTCACATATTGTGACGAGACAGTTGGTGGAGCGCTGTTGGGATGGAGCAGAGCGGTCGTAGCTGAGATGGTCTTGGTGCCCACAGCCATAGCCTGTGAGGTAAGTTCTTGTAAGAAATTGGGCGACGCCCTATCATCACTGATTTCGACATTGGAAGATGGTGTTTGAATCGGGGTTGTATCATCCCACCATTGTCCCTCGTCCAAGTGTGCGTCCACCCCAGCCATAAAGTCATGACTCATTTTCAGGTCTGGATCAATATTCTGGGACGCATTCTCGAGGCCAAGGTCTGCTTGGGCCATTGTGCTAGTCTGGCTCCAGTTGAAGCTGTCATAGTCAAGCCAATCATCTTCTAGAGAACCACCCGTCTGTTTCTCTAAAGATGACAAGCCTATACTATTCTCCGAATTAAAGCACGATCTTCTTGTCTTGGCTCTTAATGTAGTGATACCTTGACCTTTTGTTAGATGGTGGGACCAACACGATCGACCATACAGTTGTACACACATGCTGTGCCTGCCTTGACACATTTGGAGCATTTTGGTAGAGGCTGGCCTGGTGATGGCTTCTGGGAGGTGGCGTCTCGAAGACACCGGACTTTCTGCTGCCGGCAGCGCTCGCATGATTGGCGGTGAGACATCGAGCCGAACATGTGGGTGCCAGACGGACGTGTCGGCATCGCATGGTGGCTCCACGGGTTACTTCCCGGGCATTCTCTTTATATCATGTGGGAACTAATCATTAACTGCCAGGATCCTCTCGTCTCTTGTCTCTGGCCCAAAGCGTAAGGTGTCATACATTATCTGTAGACGTAGTCAGATTGAGGCAATCTTATGCTCTGATTGTGCCATTATGCAGTCAGGATTATGTGAGAACCGAGTGAGGAGCGTTACACAGGATAAGGTAATGCACTCTTTTGTCCCCAAGACTCGACATGAGGCCTCATTGTGAGGTGATGCCAAGTCCTAGCTTCGTAATCCAATTCTAAAGGAGCAGTGCCTCCCAACGATCTAAACTGACATTTCACGCAAATCCCTAGATGCGACGTTGCTTATCTTCATCTTGTCACACGGGACTCAGGTGCATATTCCCCAGCCATTCAAAGGCCACGCAATAGATCGTTCCTTTTCCATTGGATCCGGTGGGAGTTTGCTTGTGACGAGATAACGCACCAGCGCCAGTTAGGCAAGGGTGATGCTTACGCGTAGGTGCTGATATCACTATCGCTGTGAGAAAATGTGAGATTAGGATGCATTAATCCCGGGCCGTGCCGATACTAACACCCGCGAAGCTGACGCTTATCCAGCACCTCACAGGCGATGGGCCGAGTGGTGCAGATCGCATGATGTTTGATGTCAGCGCTTACCAAAAGTAGCGATAGCCGATGATGTGCGGCATATCAATAAGCATATTTGGAGTGGTTTATTTGCTCCTCGGGATCCGAAATAATTATTGTCATGGAGACTCAAAGGTATCGCTGAAGATTCTTGAACCAGTAGAGCCATATGGGTATCGCCTGTTTCTCAGCCTCTCCCACAGCTTGTGTAAAACATGAAATAGAAGACATGTAATTCTCAGCGATATGTAGACCAAACAGTAATCATTCCAATAGTTCACGTTCTTCTTTCCGTTTGCTCCGGTGCAAAATATTGAAGACCCTGTGCCAATAAAAGCGGCTGAATAGGATAAGATACGCCAACATGATTCATCCCATGCATCACATAGATAACATGTAGCATCATTGCGGCATGCAGAGTGATGAGCTTGGCCGTGCTTCTCTCTAGCTGTCACAGTCGAGTCATGTCTGAGAAAACTGTATCGCAGAGTCTCTGGTCTCCATACCTAGGCACGGTGGGCAGTCCTATGTTGAGCATACTGAGAGAAGTTCAGCAAATCTACTTGCTACTGCAGTCTGGCGACACACGAGCAATATAGATTTAGGCACAGTGTTGCTAGGCTCGACAAATTGAGTAAATGTAGAAGGTTCTAATGCTGCAAGAGCCTTTTCGAATTGGGTTAGATCAGAATGTGCTGTGCATACCCTAGATCAATCTCAGGTAGCTAGAAGACTCCATTCACGCCTCTGTCGCTGAGTGCTCCTTGAAGATCCCGAGATACGGCTTACGGGAGATAGTGACGATCGGGGCTCAAGTCGCCTATCGTGGTGACTTTTAACCTCCTAGCCTCATCACAACTAACATCAAGATTCCAGACCAGGGTTAGCTTCACCCCACAATGTGGTGAAAAGCATGACTGCATGGTAGAAACATCTTTGTGAGTGACTAGATCATCTGTTGACCCTGCACTTTACATGTTACTGTCACATTGAATCCAGTTGGGGTTTCTAGAGTCTAATAAGTTTTTAAGTGTCCCATGAGTTTTCCATGAAATATAGAATATTACTATCCCACTTTGATATACACGTTACTAGGTGCGGGACTTCATCCCGAGACTACCCCACATCGTGAAAGAAATCGGCGCCGTCATTTGTTCGCTAATATTTGCGGCTCTGAGACCCGAGAGCCTCCCGACACCCCGTCGGTTAGGTTTTCCAAGACCAGTCTTCTCACTCGCTTGAAGCATGCCAGTCGAATCTGCTAAAGAGGCTACGGCTTGTCGAAGTTCCCTCTATTGTCTTCTTCTAAAATCTGTATATAAATCTCCGCCCCGCCTTCTAACGTCCAGCTTATCTGACCTCAGCATAATACTACAGTTCTAATATTATCCCACACTATATCTAAACTGTGCGACGCTCCCCCAGCATTACCAATATGTCCGTGCCAGAATCAAGCATATTACGCGGCATCCCTTATGTCACCGGCGCCGCCTCAGCCACACTGCTGTCAGCTGATCTTGAACTAAGTTTCTGGGGCGGCGTTGACCCAAAGACGGGTGAGATCATTGATCGGTTCCATCCGTTGAGCGGTTGTTTGCTGAAAGATACCATCTTGGCAATACCTGGAGGCAGAGGATCATGCGGCGGCAGCGTCATCATGATGGAGCTGATTCTGAATGGCCTGGGGCCTAAGGCACTTATCTTCCAGCGTCGCGAGGAGATCATCACACTCGGAGTTATGGTTGCCGAAGAATTATTCAACAAAACGGCCGCCGTGGTTACGCTAAACCCAATAGATTTTCGTCAAGTTCTGGACTGGAATGGGAAGACCGTTCACGTCCTGGGGGGACAAGTCTCAGATGCCCCCTTGAATGACAGTACGGCCAGTAAAGCTGTAGAGCCTGCTATCGACATCAATACTCTTGAAACCCGACTTAGTGATGCCGATCGAGCGATGCTAAATGGAGACAACGGCGAAGCGGCTAGGATCTCGCTGAAAATCATTATCCGAATGGCCGATATGATGGGAGCCCCAGAGCTGATGGATGTCAGCCAGGCTCATGCAGATGCTGCCTGGTATGGCCCAGGTTCGGTTGCTTTTGGACAAAGACTTCGTGCCTGGGGTGGCCGATTCCTAGTCCCCACGACTATCAATTCTCTGAATGTCGATCAAAAACGCTGGCGGGCTCTCGGGGTGAACGCAGAGTTCGGATCAGCTTGTGATGAGTTAGCCAAGGCCTTTGTCGATATGGGTGGCAAGATTTCATTCACCTGCGCGCCATACTTACTTGAGACTGCCCCTAAGCTCGGTGATCCAATCGCTTGGGGTGAGTCCAATGCCGTCATCTACGCAAACAGTGTGCTTGGCGCGAGGACACTCAAAAACCCTAATATGTTTGAGGCTCTCATTGCCTTGACTGGTCGTGCGCCCAAGGCAGGGGTCTATGTGGACGAAAATCGTCTTGCCTCTGTCTGGCTCAGAGTAACACCCCCGAGAGGGATCGATGACTCTTTCTGGCCTATTTTGGGCTACGCTCTCGGGGCCATTGCAATGACTCGCATTCCAGTCATCAGTGGACTGGAAAATCTGAATCCGAACAATGACAACTTCAAGGCGTTCTCGGCCGCATTTGCTACATCTTCCAGTGCTCCCATGTTCCACATGGTCAACCTAACCCCAGAAGCTCCCACCCTCGAGGCGGTGTGCCCGCATGGTGTGATCCCCGAAGCTATTGATGTGGACTGGAAGCATCTCGAGGCAATCTGGGATGAGTTCAATCATGGCTCTAAGCCGCGAGAAATCGACCTTATCTCCTTTGGCAATCCGCACTTCTCCTTCCGGGAGATCAAAGAGGTGTCGAAGATGTGCCAGGGAAGAACCAGGAAAGGGGATGTTGCCGTGATAGTCACATGTGGTCGTGCTCAGTACAGTCTTGCCTCGCAGGCGGGTTACATCGAGGAGCTTGAGAAGTTCGGGATCCAATTCCTCCAGGACACTTGCTGGTGCTCTATCGAGGAACCGGTCATTCGGAAGGATACTCGGACGATCATGACTAACTCTGGCAAGTATATTCACTACGGGCCTGGATTGACAGGCAGGCAATTTGCGTTTGGCAATTTAGAAATGTGTATAGAAGCAGCATGTACTGGGAAAACTACTGGGGACCCGCCTTTGTGGTTACTAAATGCCAGATGTAGGTAATGGGGTCTATCAATTCAAAATAACACTCTTATTAAATTCGTTCAGGCTGTATACCAGCTACCCATATAATTGCTTCTCCCTCCCCTCTAGTTTGAGTTTATAGGTTTCTGCACAACAAGTTGTTTACACAGCATTCTTTTCTAGGAGTCAGCAGCAAAAAGCCGTGCCTCAGTACATCCAGGCGAGACTGATGAGGAAAGCAATAGGCTTAGTGGACCATTGGGTGACAGTTGGCAGATCTGGAATATAGAGTGCTCGGGCCCATCTCCGACGCATGTCATATAGACAAATGGGGCATTCGAGGTGGTGAAAGCTTTACAAGTAAGCCTTGTCCAGCTGGCTCTTGCCGTGTCACTGTCAGAGATACCACCAATATTGTCAGTGCCTGGCTCTTGGGCAATAACATAACCACGCCTGTAAGAAACGTGACCGTTATTCTGAACGCTGAAGAATTCACCACCATCCGTTGTGAGTACCCAAGGGTTGAATCCATTACTGGCACCTCCACCCAGCCTCCAACGGTATGAACGGTCCAAATGGTAACATGTTTCAACACCGATAGTAAATTCAAGATGATAATTTGGCTGTGGATCAAGCATGGGACCTAGTGTGCAAGTACCAGTAGATTCAGTGGTTGTAGTGGGAATATTGGTAGCATCGGTCGTGGTCACCGGCACACCAGCAGTAGTGGTCCCGTCGGCCGTGGTCGTACCAATATTTGTGGTGTCAGTTGTCGGATGTGTGGTGGTGGGATCTGCAACCTCGACGGACGTGACAACACTCTGAGTAAAGGATGTTGGAAGCGACGCGGTGCTACTAGACAGCCCGAAGGCGGTCTCAGCGCCCAAGGTGGTAGTGGTAGACTCAGAAAGAGAGGATTGGGGCTTACAAGGCCCAGCGGAAATAGACGGAAAAGAGAGGCATATGGCCAGCAGCGTTGCTAGCATCTTCGGCGACGACATCATGACAGGCTTGGTGAAGCAAATTTAGAAAGAGATAGTAAACCAGGACTTCAGGATCTAGGTAATAGAGGAGGGCGCCTGATGTATTTACACTGTTATTCAGGTTGCGCATAGTTACTAATGCAGGTGAGTAGACCCCTGAAAGGTAATATAAAGCTATAGGCGCAAAAAAGACTGCAATAGT